AGGATCATGGCTGGGTGTCTCCTGTGAGTCGCCGTCCCCGGGGTTGCCCCCTCGTCCCACGTGGCTTTCCTGCAGTTCTCTCCCCTTGTCGGCCCCTCTGCATTTTTCAGATCCCTGGTTTCAAATGCACAAGGTCTGGTGGCCGCACGGTGGCCGCTGCTACTTTGCTGCTGTTACTCCTCTGTCTCTCCCACTAAAAACCGTATTGCTTACAGAAGAAATACATGCAGCAACATTAAACAGTAACGGGGTGTGGAAAATAAAAGGCAAAACCCCACGCTCAGTCCCAGGTAACCTCAGCCGGCAGTTTAGTATGTTCTGTGGGAATGCTGTCGACACACACAACGCTCACTGGCTTTCTCTTCCAAACTGGGATCCTCCGACTTTTCCAGTTGCGCGGATTCTTTAATAACTTAGTCATATACCGTGACCACTTCCCCAAAGGCCTGCTCAGACCTACCTCATGCCTTCGGAAGCTGTGTAGCTTTCCAGCTGTGCTGAAAAGAACACTGCCCCACAGAAATGTAATGCGAGCCCCACTTGTAAGTATCCGTTTTCTGGTAGCCACACTGGAAAAGAGAAAATGAAACGACGAGGCATGCATTTTAGTGATACATTTGACTTAACCCAATAGGTCCAAAACACGGCCATTTCAACATATAAACAATACGGAATGAGGACATAGTTTACCTTATATTTAAATATGAAATGTCTGAAGCCCAGTGTGTGTTTTACCCTCACAGCACATGTTGGTTCAGACTGGCCACATTTCCAAATGCAGAGTAGCCACACGTGGCCAGTGGCTACCGTGCTGGGTGGCACGGACCTCAGCCACAATTTATTTCGCTGTGCACCTGCTGATGGGAATAGAGATTGCCTCCAGTTTTTGCTCTTATAAGCAACGCTGCGATGAACATTCTTACGCTTATCACATGACACCCGCAAGTGATTATTTCTGAGGGACAGATTTATAGCCGTGAGCTTTCTAGGTCAGGGACTTTATGCATTTCCTAGTAAGATAGCTACAGCGAAATTACTCTCAATCGGGCTAAACCAGTTCATCCTTCCACTGACAGCCCATCAGCATGATCCTTCCCCCACACTCCTGCCAGACCGGATGGCAGGCCTTAAACATGGTTTCATCGCGCTCTCCCTTTTCCCATCTGTGCTCCAGGGCCCGGCATCGCCTCACAGAAGGGGACCCCATTTCAAAGCCGCGATTGTCTCTGTTGGCTGCCACTCGCGCCCAGAGGGAGGCTGTGTCTGGCTGTGTGGGTGACGGAAAACTCAGCCAACACTGGCTCAAATAAAGACTTTATTTTCTCATGGAAAACGAAGTCTTGAGAAAGGTGGCTGCTGTGGTGGCAACCCAGTGATTGAAAACGGCTTAACGTTCCCTCTGTCCTTCTAGTCCAATATTCTTGGCAGGCGGGCTTTTCTCTCTCAGGGTTGTCATCTTTTTTTTTTAATTGAATCTATTGGGGTGACATTGGTTAATAAAATTATAGAGGTTTCTGGGGTACAATTCTAGAATACATCATCTGTATATTCTATTGTGTGCTCACCATCCACCGGCTGGTCCAGCGGTTCTCAACCTGTGGGTCGCGGCCCCTTTGGCGGTTGAACGACCCTTTCACAGGGGTCGCCTAAGACCATCCTGCATATCAGATATTTACATTACAATTCATAACAGTAGCAACATTACAGTTACGAAGTAGCAACGAAAATAATTTTATGGTTGGGTCACAACATGAGGAACTGTATTTAAAGGGCCAGAAGGTTGAGAACCACTGGTCTAGTCTCTTTCCATCACCATTTACCCCACCTTCCTACCTGTCCCCGCCCCCCTTCCCTTCTGGTCATCAGCATGCTGTTGTCTGTGTCTATGAAGTTGAGCTGCGAGATGACTATAGCCTATGAGTGACCTTGAGCCAGAAGACCAGATAAGCCATGCCTCATAGGAGTCCAGACCTACAGAAGCTGAGTTAAATGTCTTTGCTCCAAGCCCCTGTGTTTGGGGGAAATTTGTTACGCAGCAGCAGAGAACTGATAGAGCGAGCACTGCTGGAAGATTATCTCCTTGGGAGCAGCCAACTCCTGTCTCTATATCATTTTCTTGTTCTCCAGGAACTCACCCCTTCCCACACGACGACAGGGCAAGAGCAGCTGCGATTGACAGGAAAAGGGACTTTGCAGGCATTCAGAAAGCCCAGGAGTCCTGTGCACACCTTCCCATCCTTTCTCACTTCCTGATGAGTTTCTTAGATGCATCTAAGGGGAGAGAAGGGGAGGGAGACACTCTCACTGCTGTGTGGACTCTCATTTCCCTGAGGAACACTCCTGGCTCCTGTCTGCATCCCTCACTGATTCTGCCCCAGGGAGGTGAGACTTGGTTGCTGCGCTTGGGGGCAGGAGTTGAGCTGTCTGCACCCATGGCGCTGCCTGCAGGGAGGTTGCACGCTGGCTGGCCTGCCCCTGGTAGGGTGGTGTAGGCTTCCTGGAAAGGCTCTGCCCCTGCAGGGCACGGCCTGTAAGCTGAGGGGCAATTCAGTTGGAAGGTGCAGGAGGAGGCCCACTGTGTCACCCGTCTGCCCCACCCTCCACAGCTGCTGTTTGATCTGTCCCTGTGTCTCATTTCTCATTGGTTCCAAGCTCGGAGGGAAAGAAGGGTTTTATTGGTTGTCTCCATCCCAAACATCCACGATATATATCCAAGATAACTGCGCTTTTTATGAAGATATAAAGCAAGCGGCAGCAGAGAAGGACCAGGTTCTGGGTTATTGTGGTTGGCCGAGGGAGCGGGGTTGGGACAGGAGTTGGAGAGGGTATGTCTTTGGAGCTTCGTGTCCCTAGGTGAGTCTGTGTGTCTCTGATCTTGGGGGTGACTGTGAGCAGGTCTACATCCCCCTTATGGGTCCTGGGGCTTCCAGCTCTGGCTTCCCCCCAGTGGGCAGGTCTCCCAGGGCCGTGGAGGGCTCTGACCCCACAGAGAGGGCGTTGCTTCCCCAAAGCACCTGCTGGCCAGAGCCCCACCTGGGATGGCACGTGGGGGTTCGGATCAGCGCCCCCCAAGCTGCTGCAGCCCCTGCTGCTTCCCGGCATCCCGATCTCTGTTCAATGCGCGATTTTTTACGATCGATCTTATATCCGGCACAATCAGATTTATGGCTCCTGCATCTTATGAAATTACACAGATGTTGCTGCTCCGCTTCTCTCCAGGACAGTAAAAGGCAATAACATTCTTGCAGATTTCGACAGCAGGCAATTCAATAAAGGGCCATGTATATTTTATAAGTACAATAAAGACAAGGCTCTGCCCGCACCGCGGCCACCAGGGCCCGCACTGCGCCGGGCGGCCCGGCCCCCCTTCCTGTCTGTTTGTCGATCAGGTCTCTCCCACTGTCACCCAGGGGACCGAGGAGATTTATCCTCTTTCTGATCCATTATTTAACTTTGGCTCCAGGGACCCTGCAATGGGGCTGTTTAAAATTTAAAGGTGTTTGTGGAACTTAATACTTTCCTCCTCCCGATTTGCACTATAAAATTTTATCTATATTTTTGTTGCCCCATAAAATGTTTCTATCTTATCGGGATGGCTTGTCCTTTTACAGGCAAAACCATAAATACCCGATGAGGTGCGGGCTGGTGGAAGGTCTCACCGAGGAGCCTGGGCGGGGGGTGGAC